AGTTGCAATAAAACGGCCTCCGCTGGATTTCCGAGCAAATTACAGCCGAAATTCAGCGAGACCGATCGCTGGCGTTCCTCCGCGGAACCATTCGCCGATCTAGTTGATCGTAAAGCAAAAAAAAAAAAGAGAGAAAGAAAGATATATGTGACATAGAGGGACAGATAGCTCGTAAAGAGAGAAAAAAAGGGTATCGCCGATGAATTCGATCGTTCTCGTCCATCCACGAGCTTCCACACTTTTTTTTTCTTTTCCTTTTTTCTTCTAGTTTTCCCTTTTTCCCTTTTTTCAGGGGTATTCTGTCATCTTGATTCGTTTCCATTTCGCAACGATTTTTCTTTGGCACACTACCGATATTGACGTTAGAATTGATTAAAAAGTTGTCACACAATCCTGTGATAGTTCTTGCTTATTACATCAGCAAATAACTGTCTGTGTAATATATTTCGAATCTATGTTATTTACTTTTGTGGTTCTCGATGTTCTAAAATATTAACAAAATAATCAAAGTATCGTAGAACATAGAAATTTTATAGATGTTATGGAACTTGTTAAAAGATTCACGGCGATCAATTTTTAGCAATTCGAATGATTTTTCGTCAAATGTATATAAATAATAGTTTCATAATATTGTAAAATTTAATTTGTCTGATGCACATTTTACAGTTTAGTTATTAGTTGTCGGTATATCGATAAATTTAAAGTTATTTTCCAAAGCAGATCTCTGTTTCTCCGACACGTAGATGATTTTGTTCTTGTCTGTTAAGCATGATAAAAAGCCTACTTTTGCAAATTATCCATATTCATCATCAGCTTCTGTCTTAAATTAAATTTTATATATTTAGTAAACAGCTAACTAATTAAGCGGATGTAATATATAATTTAAATTTACTTAAGATGAATGATTAAATATCTGTTTCATTATTCTCGTATCTATCGCAATCGTCCGCGTTGAATATTTAAAAGAAAAAAAAAAAATGATTTCCTTCCATTTATCAAGCTCCATTTCGTTTCTGAAATTTCGATCTTTAGTAACTCTAACCCAAAAGATAGTATATAAGAAACACTGAACGTAAGGTCAGTAGTGCATCCTTTTCGTCTCCGCCATCAGACAAATTCGTTCGTCACGTAAAAGCCGAACGATCGTGGATGGAATCGTACGACCGCGAATTCGTTTTTACGGGATTATTTTCTTATTTATATTACATCGGATACACTTGCTACACAAAACGAAACCACACGAACCAATAACTAGCTCGCTTTACGAGAGAAAGAGAGAGAAACTACCGAAATTCGTCACACAGATCTGCTTGTAACAGACAACGACACATCTAAAATGAATCGGCAAGGAGTAACTTGAAATACACTTGTTACGCTTCCGAGGGAGATAAATCCAACGTAAATGCAGTTCCTCGCGGAAATTCCAATGTCCTGAAACTTCGCAGCTTTACACTTGTTAGGATCTGGTTAAGATCTGGTTAAGATTCTCGAAGACCCTTTCGATTGGAAGCGGGAGCCTGTTGCAGTCTGTTGGAAGTCGGGCAACTTTTTGCAATTAATTATTTGGAAACTTTGTAAGTAAGTGGCTAACACGGGGGAACTGATTGCTCGTCATTGCTACGCCGGTTTTTTCGCTCGTTTATTTTCACTGGAGCTCTTACTCAGGGGGAACTCATTATAATTCGAACTCCAGTTCAGGAGTATGTATTTATTTTATCTATTAGAGTGACTAAGACAAATAGAGAAGAGAGACAGAGTTGCCGATTACGAAGCTGAATGTGGTACGAAGAAATAAATTTACAGATAGAAAAGGATCAATTCATCGAGAATTATACGAACACGAGTATAAATATTACATTATTAAGTATAACTACATAGTTGAGTATCTTGAAACTTGAACCTGAACCTCGAGCATCAAAATGCAAAGTTTTCTTCCGCGATTGCTGAAATATGAATCAGAGGTACCAACTTTCAATGAAATTATTAATACAGTGGAATTTAATTAAATTTAATTATCATACAATCGACGAGAAAGATGAATTTATTTAATATATTTTAGAACAGACCAAGTGTTTGATATGTTAAAGTAGAAATACTTTATACTCGAACAAAAGAAGACACTCAGATTTCCAAGGCCAATATCAACTTCTAAAACACAGTTCCACAGATTCTTTCTGTCACTGGAACATTTTTAACGTTCAAAACATTTAAAATATACTGATATATAGACTCTTGTAGTTGACAAACAGATTATCATTATCAAGAATTTCTTGGAAAATTCACGGCCAATAAATTCGGCTGTAGAGAAAGAAAGCTAATCGCGTTTAAACTGAATAAATATCCGAGCATTCAGATATGTTCTGATACCTCGTATTTCAAGCGAGTGTGTACCCAAGTACTCAAGCGCTCGGGTACCCGTAGATCCGAGCAACAGTAAGAACCCTACTCTTCACAGTGACCAAACCCTTCAGTCAAACATCGTCCCATAAAGATACACACATGCACACACGTACGTACGTACTTTTAAACACGCGTATATCGACAGGAAGGAAAGAAGCAAGGGATCCGCGGGAAAAAGGTCAGAAGCGAGAGAAATAACGTCACGTCGTGTATCCAATTACGTTGACCGTCGGGAGAGCAGCATCCGTTG